TGCAGCCATAGATCTATAAAGCTCAGTGCATATTTTTGATCTGGGCAACCCACTACTGCTCAAGCTGGTCTCTATGACCATTGCCTCTTTCAGTGCCCCCTTCATTGCCATAGCCCTACCTTTCCTGGCATAGCAATGACATAAAATCCTTCTGCTCTTTCTGCTTCCCTATCTTGGCAGTAAAATATCTATAGAGTTTCTTATCTTACTGTCTCTGCTATACACACCACCTAAAACAACACCTTTACTGCATTGTGCCTTCAGCAGTTGTACTTCAATGATTATAATCAGTAGCCATCTATTAAGGACCTGCAGAACAGTGATTCCCATACACCCCTTTTTAGCCATAATCAAACAAGCATAAGGGCTGCATGAACAAGAGTCACTCTACTCTGTGCTAATTTCTGGGTAGCCCACCATTATTGCACTAGCCCTATATGTGGCACAGACTGCACTATTGTGCTTCTTTGAGTTCTTTTCTATTTAACTGGCCTGGACCCCTTGATGACAATTGTCACCAGAGCAGGAAATGTGGAAATATCTTAACAGAGGCAATAACAGCAAAACATACTGTACATGATTGAACTTGGGGGGGGGGGGGGGGGGGAAGAAAAAATTACTGGGGATTGATATCTCATATCTCAGTGATGGACAATGTGCTAAAGAACAGTTAGGCTACAAAATGGTAAATTTCACAGCTTTCCACACTTGATCATGGCTCACAAGTTCGTATGCTTGTAATTTGTAATATATGCCTATGGGAGTGGAGTAAAAAAATCAGCCATGCTCAACTAGTGTTTTGTGAAACCCTGTGGTTTCTCCAATGGTTGCCAGGGGTTCCTTGAGCTATGGCAGCTTGACGATCCATTTTATTGTGCCTGCATAGTTCCAGGTCCAATGCCACTTAACAAAGCCAGCTGCATGACACCAGTAACCATTTTGCTGTCTGTAAAGAGGGCTATCTAACTACCACTGTGTGGCGGGCATTCTGTTCATTGGTCACCAATGTAAGGAGCAATTTTCTCATTGACCCCAATATATTGGTTCTTGCAAGGGTTCCCTGAGACCTGAAAATGGTTGCTGGGGTGCCTATGGGGTGGTTGGTGGGTGTAGCACCAATCAAGCAAGACCCATTCAACTGAATGAGGCCGCTATGCAATTGCACTGCAACCTTGTGCAGTACAGAAAACAAGGGGTTAAACAGGCAGTGGTGTGTTGCTTTCTCACCACCTGCTTTAAGCCCTTGGACCCTGCAGAAGCATGCAGTTGCGGGGCACTTGCAGTGTGGCCTACTTGAATGGGTCTTGGTTGACAGGTGGTAGCACCCACCAAAAGCAACAGGGTGCAATTCCTGCTGCGGCACGTATACACCTTCAGCGGCTGTCGCAGCAGCTAAAGGCAGTAGGGATTGGGGGATGGTAAAACCCTGATTCAACCGCAGGGCTATACCCTCCCAACCTTCATGTGAACAAGCCCTTAGGGTGTCGCTGCCAAATACAACTATGAGCTCATTCAGGTGCAGTAGGCACTGCTTTTCCTTTGCAAAGCGATCCAAGTGCATTTGACAGGTGGTGAGGAGGCGATATGTTGCCTCCTCATCACCAGATTTAAACCCATGATTGCCGTTCAATGCACTCGATTGTGGCATGGTAGTACGGCATTTAGAGTTTTAAATCAGGTATGAGAAGGCAACACTGTGCCTGGTGATCTTTTACTTTTCCCATGTTGTTCAGGTAGGTCTCTACCTCTTTAAGGTTACCTATCCCTGTCTGGGGTAAAGAGGTTGAGAGAGGCTGAAATAAATACATATACAACGGGTAAAATAAGTATTGAACATCTCACCATTTTTCTAGGTAAATATATTTCTAATGGTGCTATTGACATGAAATGTTCACCGCATGTCGCTAACAGCCCATGAAATCCATACACTTTTACCAGCTGTAAATTGAAGTGATCCAGAGAAACTGTGCTAATTTTAAGTACCCAGAACATTTCTAAGGGAAAAAAAATAATCCTATTCCTTGAACCTGATTGGCTTATAGAAGTCTCCTGTTGATTAGAAGCTTACCTGCTGGTCTGTTGAATCACCTTTAAGCCATTATCTCTGCTTGAGAAAAGAAACACTGACCAGTTCTCAAGAAAATCAGATCTTTATGGCTGTTATTGTCACTTGCACTTTGTCCCCTGAGGGACAGGAGGAGCAGAAGATGTGTATGGTGAGACGTTCTCTGGAACAGCTTAAGAAAAATACTTTGCAAATCATCCTCGCTATCCACAGAAACTTTTCATAGTGGCCAGCACTCTGACTAGCATTGTAAAGACAGTTTTCATTGTTCACTTAACCTTCAACAAATCTCTGTCTCTCTCCCTCTTTGAATACAAGCAATTTTGTGCCACCATGGTAAGGGTGAGTTTGGGGTTGTCGGATGATTTACTTTCCAGACTCTACATACCCTGGAAAACTTGCATTACATTGTTTTGTGCCTTCTATGGATGCATGGTCCCATGTGTTGGTCTCATGCCAGAGTCTCAATGCAGACATAAATCAGAAGAGCACAGATTCCTATTAAGACCCAGCACACTCGTTCCCTGGGGAGCTTGTTCTGTCCATTGCAGCAGATCACTCAGTATAAGTGCCAATGTGCTGAGCCTTGTAATCTGGACATTGTTGAAAATATGGAGTAAATGACCTTTACCAGTAATCTGGACATTTTTGGAAATACTGAGTAGGTGACCTTTAACAGCAGTTAAATTGCAACAAAAAAAACAGGCCAACTGACTAACTGAAGATGGACATAAAACAGTTGTGTAAAGAGCACATGTTTAAAAAGTAAAAGTAATTTTGTATTCCAAATTTGTTTGTTTCTTGAAGTTTTCATGAAAAAAAGTTTTAAAGTAAATTGTAATTGGTTACAGTTGGGTTTGTTTTCCAAAATGTATTTTAATTCGAAATAACCCAGTGTTAAAGTGCTTCTGGAAGCATCTGTTGTCCGATAATTGCAGCCTTTCTCATTTTATTTTTAGTGTGAAGGAACCTTTAAAATAAATTTCAGGTCTCAGGGAACCCCTGCTAAAATTATTTTAATGTCAGCTCTCAATACAAAAATTAGATCTGTAGGTTGTAGCTACAGTAAAAAGAAAAAGAAAGGTTGTAGTGTATTTAAAATGTAGAGCAGATTATATTTTAAATCACCATATTCTGTACACTAGAATTATTTTCAGTAATAATGAATTTAAACTAATGATGAAGATGGCAAGAATAGAAACATTTTCTCCCTTTTATATTGATGGTCAGTGAGAAAAAGATCCCCTTACATTGGAGGTCAGTGCGAAAAGGTTCCCCTTACATTGGAGGTCAGTGAGAAAAGGTTCCCCTTACATTGGAGGTCAGTGCGAAAAGGTTCCCCTTACATTGGAGGTCAGTGAGAAAAGCTTCCCCTTACATTGGAGGTCATTGAGAAAAGGTTCCCCTTAAATTGGAGGTCAGTGAGAAAAGGTTCCCCCTACATTGATGGTCAGTGGGAAAGGGTCCCCTTACATTGGAGTTCAGTGAGAAAAGGGTCCCCTTAAATTCGAGGTCAATAGGAAAAGTGTCCCCTTACATTGGTGTTCAGTGAGCTAAGGCCCCTTCACATTGGTGATTAGTGGGATAAGGTTCCTCTGACATTGTTGGTCAGTGGGATAAGGGACCCCTTTCACTGCTGAGCAAAGTTTTGTCTCATTGACAGTGAGAAGAATGCCTTTTTACACAGATGGCCAGTGGAAAGCATGCCCCCCACCTCTTACAGATTGCTAAAAAGCACATTGGTGTCAGTGAGACAGATTAGCAAAGATGTTGCAGCGGTCCCACATTGCTGTATCTGAGTTGCTGGATCTGAGGCAACATAAAACATGCGATGAATCCCCCCCTGCTTAAGGAACTTCTGGAAGAACCTTGTAAAAGATGCAGACCTCACTATTGTAGTCTTCATTGTTTTAATAAAACTTTGTTTCATTGGCGTCCACTGCCCATCACACATAATCTGCTTGACATGTTTCCTTAAATAGGACTTACAAGGGTTAGACAAAAAAATGGAAATACTACATGATTTGCAGGTTTGAAAATGACAGCATGTTTCACATTGAAAGCAGAAGTGATGTAAGATTCTTTTGCTTCCACTGTGTGATGAGACACCTAGCTAACAGGTGAGAAGCCTCACTTTTGTCATTGAATGCGTGCGCTGCTAGTAATACGGAGTCATGTCAGAGCTTACTGAGCTTCAAAGAGGACAAATTGTTGGTGCCCGCTTAGCTGGTGCCTCTGTAACTGGAGTTGACGATTTATTTGCCATGTCACAAGGTACAGTATCAAAGGTTTTGACAGTTTGTACAGTTTCTGGGAAAACATTGTGTGACAAGCATAAGCCCGGTCGACATGGTCAACTGACTCCTGTGAAGACTGAGATTGAGCTCTGCAGTCACTTTTGCAGCAGTTGTTTTTTTATTCCGAGTCACAATACTGCGCAATGTTCTTTTTGTCTTTTTTTTTCAGTTGACTATGGCAACTCCAGTCACCCCAGCTAAGCGGGCACCAACAATTTGCCCTCTTTGAAGCTCAGAAAGGTCTGACACGACTCCGTATTACTAGCAGCGCATGCAGTGGAAGCAAAATAATGTTACATCACTTCCACTGTGTGATGAGACACCTAACAGGTGGCTCATCACACAGTGTAAGCAAAATAATGTTACATCACTTCCACTTTTAATGTGAAACATGTTGTCACTTTCACACCTGCAAATCATGTAGTGTTTACATTTTGTTTGTCTAACCCCTGTAATTGTAGAGGTAGAAACAACAGCTTGACAGCTTTTTTTTTTTTTTTTTTTCCCTCCAGTTTTTTTTTTTTTTTAATATAGACTGCTCTAAATAAAAAATAAGAAAAAAGGAATATTTAATTAGCTTTTAAACAACTATTATCAATACACCTTTTATATGTATCTTTAAATATTTATCTTTTCAGAAACATTTGATCCGAAGACTCAGCAGCCAGTGTCAGTCTTGAACATTCTGGTGTATTCCCTGCTTCCCATTGCTGGCCTCTCTATGGCCATACTCCTGGCATTCTGGATGTATCGCCACCGGAAACCTCCCTATGGTCATGTTGACCTTAATGAGGTAAGTAAGTCTCACAGGAAGGTCAGAAACCCTTGTTGTGAAAATATGAACCTGTTGCTGGCAGTGTGATTTAAGTTTGTTTCATGTAGGGTCTTGGAAGGAAGAATAGAAAGCAGAGGTTGTTATAATATTCCATATTTTGAATTGAACTTCTAACTGAACTTTTAAAGAGATGTGAAAGCTTTTTTTTTTTTTTTTTTTTTTATAAACAACAAACATGTTATACTTACCTGCTCTGTGCAATGGTTTTGCACAGAGCAGCCTCTGTCCTCTTCTGCTTAGGTCCCCCACTGGCGCTCCTGGCTGCTCCCCCTTGACAGGTACCCCCAATAGCAAGCCGCTTGCTCTCCATAAGACACATAGAGCCACAACTTGGCCCTGCCCCCTCCCCCGCTCTCCTCTCATTGGCTCACTGTCTGTGATTGACAGCGATGGGAGCCAGTCTCTCCCACTGCTGTGTTGCAACCAATCAGGGGAGAGAGACCTGGGACAGCCGAGGCTCCCATGGATTGAGAGGGGGCTTAGGTGAGTATTGGGGGAGCTGTGGAGGGATCAGCACACAGAAGGTTTTTTACCTTAATAATTGAAAAGTTGGGAGAGAACATCGTTTCTATTCAGGCTACTGACTAAGTGAACTGTTTTGTTTTTTGTTTTTAATATCTAGAAGCACATCTGCTGTGAGCTCAGATTTCCAGCAATCCATAATAGCTGATCAGTGTATCACAGTTGAGTATAGTCATGTTCATGAAAACTGAACCCTGGTTGGAATTTTTTAGAGCACATTGTTACAGTATTTGCGGTTGATAAATACCTTAGTTTATTGTCCTATAGGGATGACATGTACCCAGCAAAGAATTTTCTGCAGTTTCTAAATAATGTGTGTTTTCTCTTTATCATGGAGTAAGTGGGAAGTAATATATAGTATAATACTAAGAGGTCTGGCTGCTTATCCATTCATAATGGTGGTAATAAGAGCTGTTAGGTTATATATATGCACCTAACTCCTCAAAAGACATTCAAGCAGTATTAACCCAAACCCAAAAATGTAATATATCGCAGCTTACCAGTCATTAGATCGGATGGCTGCATTCATTTTCTTTTTTAGGCTTTTTTTACCCTCTGTTTTCACCTGGTGATCTGGTCAGTAGCACACTTCCTTTATAAGTGCCTCCGCCCGGGATGAAGGAGCACAGGCGCACCTTTGGACAGCAGACTTTTCAGTCTGAGGAAGGGAATGTTAGATGTACTAACAGATTTAAATATGCTAACATATTGAAGCTCCAGCTCAGACTTTATTATTGGTTACAGCGACAGTTCTTTCCTTTTGAGATAAAGGATTTACATGAATAAATAAAAGTTGATCATTGTAAACACCCCTGTCAGTTTTAAATGGTTTGTCTCATCCATGGAAACTGATACATCTGGAAAATAGCTTGTTCTTTGAAAAACAACAGACTTGCAGGCAAGATCACCAGATGAAAATAAAGCAAAGAATGCATAAAAAAGAATATTAATACAACCATCATATCTAAGAATAGGTAAGATGCTATATAATGCCTGCTTTTGTGTTTAATACCGCTTTCATAATATATGGAAAATCATGGAAAAGAAAAAAATTAAGCACCCTGTGCTCACACACATAGGTTCAAACATGCACATAGGTCCCACATGCGTATGTAAACAGTGATTTCACTACGCATGTAAGCTATTGCTGCAAACATCAACGTGAGAGCAATAATTCTAGCACCAGATGTCAGGTTTAACTCTAAACTGTTAACCTGTGAAAGCTTTTAAATGTTTGGGCTCTAAGTAATTTTCTAGCAAAAAAAAAAATCAATGACCCTTATAATTGACTAATTTGTAGAGTTGGCATATGGGTTTTAGGCATTAATACCTCTATTCAAATATTTTAGGGCTCATTGATAAAAGTTAGAGGAATGGAAAGTGAAGTTGTTTCCTGTAGCCACCAGTCAGAATTCAGTAGAGGTTTTCCTTCTGGAAGCTACAGTCTGAAAGCAGGTGTTTGGTGGCTTTATTTCCATCATACTATGAGACCATTCCCTTTCTTCTCCATAGTAAAAGGAAGATGTCTTTTTTTGCATGATTACTGAAGCCATACAGCCTCTAAGTCTTGGAGGTGAAATAACGTCAGGCCTTCACCTCGGAAGAGTAGCTCTCTTAAAACCTGCCTGTCTGTTACTTAGATAAATCCATGACTACCTGTCTACACTTCATTATGGATAATGTGTGGCTTAACCTGCAGAATTGTGGCAAATTCTGTCTACAAGTGGCAAGCCATCATTATTGAACTCTGGGTCAATTTATTTATTAATTTATTACAGGTACTTATATAGCGCCGTCAATTTATGCAGCGCTTTACATCTATTGTACATTGACATCAGTCCCTAGCCCTACAATCTAAGGTGCATGTATTGACAGTTGCCCATAACTTGTTGAATGCATGTTAAATGCACTAGCAGTTTATATGCTGAGATACCATGGTACCTTTGTTCAGAGTAGCTGCCCTTTTAAGCTCCAGCCACTTGGTTGGCTTTTTTGTGTTCTTTTCTATTGCATTCTTTTCTTTTGCATGTAGCAAGTCCAGACATGACCCCTTTAGTTACTTACAAAGTAAACCTTTATGTTCAGCCAAGATCACCATTGAGGCTATTCCTTGTTAGTTATACAGGGTGTTTGGAGTAAATAAAATGCTAATAATTTCTAGCTTTCTACTGTGATAAAGAGAAAATACCTGATTCTCCCTGTCAGACTGAGGCACCGAGGCGTATTTTATAAGGCAATATAAAAAGCAATGATGATGTTAGAAAAGCAGTAACCATAGCAAGCCAGCAGGTCTCACCATTAATCAGTTTTGATCAGCTGGATTAAAGAATGATGATTGCTGGCTGGGTAATTGGGTGGCATGAATTACTTCACTAGCACACCATTTTTCTTTTTATTTCTTTAAGGCTCAGTTCACACTGGTGCAATTTCAGAAGTGCCGTGACTCGCACAGAGTCGCATGACAAGGGAAATCACCTTATGTTCCGTGGTTCTGGTTTACATCAGTGTGACTCTCTGAGGTGTGATTTTTTTGAAAAGGTTCCTGTGCTACTTTGGTGCGATTTTGGTGTGATTTGGCTCTATAGAATATGCTAGTCAAATCTGAAGTTGCATCAAGGTCGCACTACATGATCGCACTAAAAATCACACTGGAATCGAGTTGCGGTAGTTTGATCCAATCTTAAAGTTCAACAGTACAACAGTGCGATATACATGTAAGCAAAAGCAACAGTTAATATGTGATAACATAGCATAAATGCACAGGAGAGAGTATTTCAAAGTGAGTTAGATAGACAACCTACACTGTCTTTCAAATATGTCTGGGGTTAGAGATCTCTGTTTAAAATGGAATTGTGGAAGAAACAATAGATGGGCCATCTTCTATTGGTTTGGTCATGTTCTTATATGCCATTCAGTCTTGGAAAGTGGGAAGGCTTGTGGCCTCCATCTAAGAATGAAAAGTTTTTTCATTAGGGACACATCCAAACCAGCCATGACATTTCATTCAACTATATGCATTGAACTGCAGAAAAAAGTGCTTCCTGTCCTACTCTTTAAGCACACACCTATGCAGTACATTAGTGTAAACTGAAACAATTAGACGTAAGGCCCCCCCTTATACTTGCCTGAGCTCCATCCCAATCCAGTGATGTGCATGAGAGCGCCAGCTCTCCTGGGTCTCTTTCCTCATTGGCTCCCTCTGCTGTCAATTACAGTCAGTGAGCCAGTGTCCATTCTCAGGATCCTGGCTTCAGTGTGAGCCTGCACACGTGCCCCCATAGCAAGAGGCTTGCTATTGGGGGTACGTGGCAGGGGGGAGGAGCCAGGACCACCAGCAGGGGACCCAAAAAAAGGGGATTGAAGCTGCTCTGTGCAAAATCAATGCATAGTTAAGTATAACATGTTTGTTATTAAAAAAAAATAATACAGCCTTTAGAATCACTTTTAAGCTCTGTGTGCATAAGGCTTTATCATTTAAATTATTAGCATTTGCATACTGTAAAAAAAAAATCTGTAAATTATCTTTTGAAATTTGCCTCTGTAGCTGTAGACACCATGGAGAAATTCATCCTCTAAAGGCGGCCATAGACGATTCAAATCTTGGCAGGTTCAGCAGGGACCAACCGAGATTCGAACCGTGTAAGGGCAGGCTGAATGAACCCAAGGTGACATTCGATCAACGTGTGTACAACCAGCCTGTTGAATTTTACATGCAGTAATCATTGTGTCCTCCTGGCAGGGACGGCTCCTCCTACGTTGGGAGAACACAATGTTAATTCCCCCATCGACACTAACTGTGTTGATAGGGAGGGATCAAGTAATTATCACTCTATGGCGGAATCAAGTGATTATCACACTGTCTGTGGCAGACATAAGTTCTCTGCAGATGCATTGAAGTCTTTCAAGTAGTTCTCTCAGTAGTTGTGTTTTCCCTGTTCTCAGAGATCCTGCTCTGTGTACATCCGAGATTGGAAGGCTGCAGAGTCCCTGCTGAGAGGGAGAACAAGGTGAACTTAAAGCGGAGATCCGCTCACCCTGTCAAAAAATTAAAGTCACCAGCAACAAAAACTGTAGCTGCTGACTTTTAAAAAACAGCCACTCACCTATCCCTCGGTCCCATGGTTTGTCCCCCGCAGCTCGTTTCACCGGCCGTCCTGTATTCCTGGAGGCCGGCATCTTCAGTGTGGGCACCGGCTGTGACAGCTTGTGGCTTCACAGCCGGGTACCCACTGCGCATGTGCGAGTAGCGCTGCGCTTCATGAATGGTCCTGTAGTCTTCTGGGGCCTGTCACGTGTACCAAAAGACTACGGGGGGGGGGGAGGACACCTTCCGTTTCCGATCACCTATGTGATCAGTCCAGAAGTGGGAGCGGGTACCTGTCAAATTCAGGTACCCGCTCCCACCCCCCAAAGGAGCAATCCTTAATGGGGAGCGGGGGAGCAGTCCTTAAAGCGGAACTTCCCCTTTTGGGTGGAACTCCGCTTTAACTGCTGAGAGAACCACTTGTAGAACTTCTGTGCTTCTGCTGTGAACTTTGAGATTGAGTTGCTCCATCATGCCTGCAGATACAGAAATTAATGAGGACTTTTTTACTGCTTGTTGGGAATATTTTAATACTTGAATGCACATGGTTTAGCCACTTAAATGCCACTGCTACAGCAAGAACTTGATTCTTGTCAAAATGTTTGTGTAAAGTGCTTTAATATGTGTATAGCCTATCAACAATACATGACTCAGGCAGTTGTCTTGGGTAAAAAAGAGATGACCAGAATTACATTGTATTATGTTACTCCTTGGTTTATTGTCCTTTTTTTAAAGCTCATATAATAACATTATTGATTTTCATTCATCTAGATATATGCTAATACTTTCTGAGAGCTAGTGCTAGCTTCTCTTTTATCAGCCAAGCCTTCATCTCTAGAAGCTGTGAATCAATACAAGATTCTTATTTTCTTGCGCCCATACCATCTTCTGACATTAAATGTAATTTAAGAGCAAGTTTTGTGGAATCGCTACATGGTTGTTTTTGAGTAAATGGATCACAATTACTATGCCTTTAATTCCAAAGTGCTAATTGACTATAAAATGTTACATGCTTTATATCGAGAGCTTTATGGGCCTGACTGCGGCAGGGGCCTGTGTAAGTAGAAGCACTTCATCAAACAGGTCTCGCCATAACTGACATGATTTGCAGAGGGCCTAGCTGCTTCAGTAAGCTTGCCAAAACAATTAAATGAATACCCCACTTTCATGCTGTATGTGCACCATTCCATTCTGTGTTTTCTTAGTTTCCATAGCAACAGTGTAGGCCAGTTAAAAATATTTCATTCAATAGAACTCCATCCTAATCAGTCACATTCCGGTGTAGTCTTCTTTCTTTGGAACCTTAAAATACATTTTTGTTAATGTATGATTTCTGTGTGTATGGTTGGACTAATGAAGGCTTCGTAACTTAAACAAAAATCAGTAAAGTACACTTTAAAGGTCATTGCAGGTAATCTATTTTTGCAACTTAAGCTAATTAACAACTTGTAGAAATAGAGGTTATTTGAAGCTTATGCTGCTCATAAAAGATCAATGACGTTTTTGTCTATCTCTGTAGGATCCAGGGCCACCTCCGCCATCTCCATTAGTTGGACTCAAGCCCCTGCAGTTATTGGAAATCAAGGCAAGGGGCCGATTCGGCTGTGTTTGGAAGGCAAGGCTGATGAATGAATATGTAGCTGTGAAAATCTTTCCCATTCAGGTAGGATGGGTGTCATAATTCATCTTTTTTATATTTGATGTGTGTGTAGATATACATATACGGCATTCATAAAATATTCAGACCCCCTTCACTTTTTTCCATTTTGCTATGTTACGGCCTGATCCTACAGTTGTTCAGATTCATTTTTTTTTCTCATGAACCTACACTCCCATAATGTACCCCATAATGACAAAGTGAAACAGAATTTTAGAAATGTCTGTGAATTTATTAAAAATAAATGGAATATCACATGTACTTAAGTATTCAGACTTTTTACTCAGTACTTTGTTAAAGCACCTTTTGGTAGCAATTACAGCCTCAAGTCTTTTTGGGAATGATGCAACCAGCATTACACACATTGGATTCCCACATGGAAGAAAAATATATTTGAAATATATTTTAAAAATATTCTTCCAAAATATATTGCCATATATTTGAAATGCTACAATTTTGGCCATATTCAATATATTTCAAAATCTATTTCAATAAATATATATATATATACACATTGCATGTTGAAATGCGTTTTTATTACATGTATGAAAAATATTTTAAAAAATAAATTTCAGATATACTGTATGTCTTTAAAAGTAGATTTAATCTACATTTTTGGACTGCATTTACAGAAATGTAAAAAAGATATGTTAAAATTACCTTTTTATATGTTAAAAAAAATGTGAAGAATATATTTTTTAAGAATATAGATTTTTTTTTAAATATACTCTTCACATTTCTTTTTAACATATAAAAAAGGCATTTTAACATATATGTTTAGATATATTTGTAAATGCATTCCAAAAATGTAGATTTGTATTTTTAAAGACATACAGTATATTTGAAATGTATTTTTAAAAATATGTAAAATGTTTGTAATAAAAACGCATTTCAACATGCAGTGTGTATGTATGTATGTATGTATGCATATATATATATATATATATATATATATATATAAAAATTTATTTATTGAAATATATTTTGCTATATATTGAATATGGCCAAAATTGTAGCATTTCAAATATATGGCAATATATTTGGGAAGAATATTTTAAAAATATATTTCGAATATTTTAAAAATATATTTCAAATATATTTTTTTTTCTTCCATATGGGTTAGGAGGACTTTCTGCCATTTTTGTTTGCAAATCCTCTCAAGCTCATTCAGGTTGGATAAGGGACTGTTGGTCAGCAGCAATTTTCAGGTCTCTCCAGAGATGTTCAATAGGGTTCAAGCGAAGTAAGTCTGAATACTTTATGAATGCTATAAATATATATATATATATATATATATATATATATATATTCCCCTTCATTTAAAGATTTTGTAAAGTAAACCACTTAAAATCAGAATGGAATCAATCATACATTACAGTCACGGATGCAAGATGAACCTACATTATTCTGTCAAGGCATCTTTTATACCTGCTTTGGAGACAGATGAGATATTTCTGATATTTCTTATTTTGACTGGAGGCAGTCATTATCTCGAATGACCAAAAAGAAAGTTAATTAAAGGAGATTGTAACACTCAAGCAACCCACTAAGGTGCATCATGTTCTATTCTGTAAACTGAGCGCTATTGATATAGCAGATTCTATATGAACTGTCTGTAGAAGGATTTTTTATTTTGTCCAGCAATATTTGTGTATTATATATAAATCTACTCGACAGCACAGCCAGGAGGTTGACAGCACTTAAGCTGGCCATACTTGGGTCGAATCCTTAAAGAATTTTCTTTCAAAAAAAGAATTTTCGTTCGATTTGCACACCATTAATGGGCCACAGCAACGGCCAATTTTCGAGCAACCATTGAATTTGAGTGATCGGGCATGTTGACAAATTTGTTGAAAAATGAACAAATTTCTAATCAATGATGGGAGAATCATGCGAGCAATGTGATCGAAAAAGAAATGAGCATCAGCTGTGACCTGAAAAGAAAAGAAAATTCTTGGCCACGAAAATTCTTTTCTGTAGCAAAATGAGGTGAAATTAAAGGCTTGGTTGGTCGAATTTCAAAATCAATGGTGGCACCATCAGCTTACAAAATGCAGGAAATCTCCGATTTTCAAAAGAAAATTCATTCGGAATTCGACACATATATGGCCTGCATTAGGCCTCTTTTACGCAGCTCATCTGACCAGGCTCACCTGTCAGTTATTCAGGCAGACCTGCTCGGAAGGTCCATTCATCACTATAAACAGGTGGGTGTAAATGAACTTGTGTCCGTTTACACCCACCTACCTCTGGTTTCTATCCGGTCAGCTAAAAAAAAAATGGAAGGGGATCTATCCTCTTCTGTTTAGGTGGATCAGAGGGTAGTCGGAAGTACAGCAACAGCGGAGTCTGTTTATTCCTGACCACCCATAAAGAAAGAGCGAGCTCAGTCTCTGAGTGGATCCCCTGCTGTTCAGAACGGACATTTAAAAAGCTCCTTACAGTAGTAGAATAACGTTTCATTTTCCCCCTCTTGTTGATTGGATGATGAAGTGACAGCAGCACACTAACAACTCTGCTCACTCTGCTCTGTTCTCCTGTCAGAATGCTTCCTGAAGTACATTCACTATAACCAGACTGGCTCCTTGGGCTTCCTCTCCTTTCCCAGTTTGAATCTGAGCCTTAGCAAGGGAAAACAGAAGACTGATGTCTAGACAAGTTCAAGAATTTCTTTGTTTCATGTAAAAATAAATCTAAAAGTAATACACTGCATTCAATTATACTTGTGCTTTTTATGGCTGTTTCGAGGTCAGCTTTTAAGTATGTTGTTGCTTACTGGAAGAAAGCAGTAACTGTGTGACCCAGAAGTTATATTGCTGATGCAATCCTATGTATACTCATTAACGAAGCTCCTACATACCGGTGTGCAGACTACTATGCTCAGGGTAGCAAAGTGTCTCATCTCCGACCACTATTTTATAGGAATGTAAATTGAGAAACTTGAATCAAAGTTTATGCTGCACAGCGTGAACTTCCTAAAGTCAGTGAGTGGCTCATCATTTGGAGAACAGACCAGGAATGAGGGAATGCTTGCAGCACCATTGTGGGTCAAGCTGTAAGAATTTTCACAAGAATTCAGGGTTTGACAAATCATGGTCATCAGGGCGATTGGAAAAATCACTCTAAGGAACAGGATGTCCTGCCTACAGGTGGCTTACAGTCATGGCCAAAAATATTGGCACCCCTGCATTTTTGTCAGATAATGCACCACTTTTCTCAGAATATTATTGCAATTACAACTGTTAAAGCATTCTCATGTTTATTTCTTTGGTTTGTGTTGGTATGACACAAAAGTGGAGAAACAAAAAGGCCAAAGCTGACACATTCTGTGCAAAACCCCAAAAATTCACTGGACAAAATTATTGGTACCTTCAATGTAATATTTGGTAGAACACCCCTTGGAAAAAATAACCGAAATCAATCGCTTCTTGTAACCATCAATGAGGTTATTACACCTCTCTACTGGAATTTGGAGCACTCTTCTTTCGCCAACTGCTCCAAGTCTCTCAGATTGGAAGGGTTCTTTCTCCAACTGCTGTTTTGAGATCTCTCCACAGGTGCTGTATGGGATTGAGATCTGGACTCATTGCTGATCAGTTCAGTACTCTCCAGCACTTTGTCTGAAACCATTTCTGGGTGCTTTTTTACATGTGCTTTGGGTCACTGTACTGCTGTAAGACCCATGATCTCTGATGGAAACTGGAATTTCTGACACTGAGGCCTATATTGCACCCCAGAATTCTTTGGTAGTCGTCAGATTTCATAATACCATGCACACGGTCAAGATATCCAGTACCTGAAGCAACAATGCAACCCCAAAACATCAGTGAACCTCCACCATGTTTGACTGCAGGGACTGTATTCTTTTCTTTAAGGCTGAGTTCACACTGATGCGTTGCAGAATTCACCACATTTTCTGTGCGAATTCCACACCACATCAGAATCGCACTCCGTTCATGCGAACCAATGCGGGTACGTATGTAAGTTAACAACACCCCGAAATCAGTCCGCAAAACGTGGTGCAATGTGCAGAATTGGATCTCATAGGTGTGAATACTTATGCGTTTTGATTCTAGTGCAGACCCAAAAAAAGGTTCTGCACCTTTTTGGTGTGGATGTGGTGCGATTTCAACCATACATAATGTATGGCTCCAATCGCACCGCGCACAAATTGCTTGTGATTTGCACTGGAATGCAGTGCGGTTCCTGTGCGAATCACATGTGATATACTGCACCGCATATATGTGAACCCAGGCTGAAGGCCTCATTGGTTTTTCTGAAAACAGCAGAATGATGAGCTTAACCAAAAAATTGTCATTTTGTTTTGTCTGTCCACGGCACATTCTCCCAAAAGGGTTTTGGTAACTGTTGGCAAACTCCAATCTGGCTTTTTTATGTTTATGTGTCAGCAATGGTGTTCTCCTACCAATAGTGTCTTTTTTCATTCAGATTGAAACCTTTAGTGCAAGCTGACACAGTTGTACCCTGTGCCTGAAGGTTAGCTTGAATTTGTCTTGAAGTTGATCGAAGTTATTTAGTCACCATTCAAACAATCCTTCGTCGCAATCTTTAATCAGTTTTTCTCTTTCGTACACAACCAGGGAGATTGGCTACAGTGCCTTGGGCTGTACACTTCTTAACAGTGTTGCACACAGTAGACACAGGAACATTAAGATTACTGGAGATGGACGTGTAACCTTGAGATTGTCCATGCTTTTCCACAATTTTTTTTTCTCAAATCCTCAGACAATTCTTTGCTGCTCTTTATCTTCTCCTTGCTCCATGTGGCACACAGAGACACACAACTGAAAGGTTGAGTCAATTTTTCACCATTTTAACTGGTTGCCAGTGTGATTTCTATACTGTAAACACCTCTTAATTGATACAGGGGAGTTTAATTACAAATTACAGGAGCAATTATTTCTTACAATTTTTAGGAGGTGCCACAAAGTTTGTCTAGTCCATTTTTTGGGGTTTTGCGTTTAAATTGTCAAATTTGGAATTTT